CTGGAGAGCTGGAGGTGGCTCTATTTAGGTTTTACACAGCATCCCACAAATCTGTGCTGCTGGGCTGGAACTGGGCACCAGCAATCCCAGTTAACCCTGATTTTCCTGAACTCCTCCTCCTCCGTGTCTGTGCTGGGGTTCAGAACATTCCCACCCCTTTTTTCCATGGGTTTTGATTTTTATTTCCTACAGGGAACTGTTGGGAGGGTGGAGGGGAGGAAGAGGAAAAGCTTTGATACCCCAGAGTCTGGAGAAATCAGATTTTTCAGTCGACTGTAGGGAACTGTTTTGATTGCAAGGATGGCAAATGTTTGATGTGTTATAAATAGGGCTGACTGTGATGGAGGAAAAAAAAGAAAGCACATTTCAAAAAAAAAAAAAAGTGATTTTTTTGGGTTTTTCTTGGTGTGTTTTGCTTCTTTGAAGCTGAGGGAATTAGGGATAATTTTCCGCTTTAAAATATTTAAAGGCTGGAGARCAAAATATCCAAATGAGGTCTGGGAAATCCCATGGGGAAGCTGCTGATTAGCAGGAAAGAACACGGATTTCAGCTCCCACATCCCTGAGCTGGGCAGATGAGACCTTCAGGGTGGATGTGCTGGAATTTTTCAGCTTTCCAGGAGCTCCTCAACTGGGGAAGTTTGGCTGGTGGCACCTTCCCRAGATTATCAGGGATTTTGCTGATGGAGCAGCACAAAAATCACTATTTTTTGGGGTTTTTTTCTCCCAGCTCTGCCTGTAGCAGCCCCTGGAACTGGTTAGATATTAGGTTAGATATTAGGAATTTTTTTTTTTTTACAGGAAGAGTGATAAAGCACTGGAATGATCTGCCTGGGAGATGGTGGAGTCACCATCCGTGGGTGTTTTAAAAAAAAGATTGGATGTGGCTCTTGGAGCTGTGGTTGAGGTGTCAGGGCATGGATTGGACTCGAAGATCTTGAAAGTCTCTTTCAACCCTGGTGATTCTGTGATTCTGTGAGATTTTGTGTGATTGTGTGTGATTCTGTGATTCTTCCTTCCTTCCTTCCAAAATTCCTTCCGAAATTCCTTCCAAAATTCAAAATTCATTCCAAAATTCCCTCCCTCCCTCCCTCTTTCCTTCTCTCCTTCCTGGAATGTATGGGTGGATCAAAGGATGAGATCCCAGTTTGTGCTCCCAGAGGAAAGCACCCATCCCCTTCCCAAATTTCCCAGATTTCCTTTTGAGGGCAGCAGGGTGGGATTCCCAATGGGAATTTCCTTGGGAAATCTGGCTCCTGTTGGCCAGGTTGAACCAGGAGCTGGTGATCCTTGTATCTGTGGGGTCTGCGTTGATTTATCTCCCTCCCTGATGGATTTGGGACCTGGGGATATTTGGGWCCCTCCTCCTCTTCTTCCACTTTAATTAGAGCCAGCAGGGACAGAACCTCAATCTTATTATTCCCTCCCAGCAGGGCATTGCTTGGATGTCAAAAGGAGGATTAAATCAGTCTGGAAATGAGGGGGTTTTGCCTCTTTTGCTGCTCTGGGCTCTCCAGAGGGTGTGGAGCCTCCAGAATGGATTCTGGCACGGGGGCCCCTCAAAGCAGAGGCCTCTCAGGGGTTATTTACGGCTTCCCACGCCTCAAATCCGGGGAGAAAAATGGGAATGGAAGAGTTTGGGATTGCCTGCACCTTTCCCAGGTCTGGAGCTGCCTTGGGATCCCGTGCAGGGTGTGGGATTCTTGGCAGGGGCCAGGGTGTGCCCTGCTGAGCCTGTCCTGGCAGGTTGGCACTGCCTGCTGGCATTTCTGCCAGGCTGGGGAGGAAAAGAGAGGAGAGGAAAGGAGAGGAGAGCAGGAAATCACGCTTGGGTGGCTCCTCCATCTGCAGCAGCTCGGGGTGGGGATGTCCCTTGCAGGGCTGGAGCAGGGAATGGGGACAGGGATTGGCCATCCTCTGGCTCTGGCTGTGCTCGTGTGCCTTGGCAGGGGGTTAAATCTAGAGCTGGGGAAAACCAGCAGAGCTTTCCATCCTTTCCTGTGTCTTTTTCCTTTCTTTTCGCATCCCTTTTCCCTTTTCCCCTTTCCCTTTTCCCCTTATTCCCTTTTCCCCTTCCCTTTTCCCGTTCCCCTTTTCCTTTTCCCTCTTCCCTTTCCCTTTCCCTTTTCCCCCTTTCCCCTCTTTCCCTCTTCCCTTTTCCCTTTCCTCTTTTTCCCTTTCCCCTCTTCCCTTTTCCCCTTTCCCTTTCCTTTCCCCTTTCCTCTTTCCCCTTCCCCTTTCTCCTTTTCCCTCTTCCCTCTTCCCTTTCCCCCTATTCCCATTTTCCCTTTCACCTTTCCCCTTTCCCCTTTCCCCTTTTCCCCTTTTCCCTCCCCTTCCCAGTAGAGCTGCTGTGGTATCTCCAACTTTTCCCAAACCCCAAATAATTCCTAAAGATTCCCTCCCCCTCTTCCTCAAAAACCCATCCAACCCCATCTCATATCCCCACGGGAGCAGCAGTGTTCCAGAGGAAGAAAACCTCGATAAAATCAAATATTTGMAGTCGGAGTAAACAAACCCGATTGTTCCTTCAGATGGGGAGTTTTCAGCACAACCACGAGGAATCCTGGCAATGTTTGGAGCCCTGGCAGCCCGTGCCAGCTTTTCCCACACCAYTTGGGATGTCTGGATGAGGAATTTGCTGTTTTTTGGGGCAAAATCATCWCTGATTGCTCTGCACAACTCCCTGAGGGAGGGTGGAGCCGGGTGAGGGTCGGGCTCTGCTCCCAGAACGAGRGGAAATGRCCTCGAGTTGCACCAGGGAAGGTTTAGATTGGAAATCTGGGAAAAATTCTTCATGGAAGGGGTGGCCAGGCATGGATGGGGGGAGTCCCCATCCCTGGGGAGTCCGAAAATGGGGTGGATGTGGCATTTGGGGACGTGAGTTAGCGGTGAACATGGTGGGTTTGTGCTCAGGCTCAATGATCCTGGACTCTTTCCCAACCAAAAAAATTTAGGGTTAGGATTTAGAGTTAGTTTAGGGTTAAGGGTTAAGGTTTAGGGTTAGGGGTTAAGGTTTAGGGTTAGGGGTTAAGGTTAGGGTTAGGGTTTAGGGTTCAGAGTTATGGTTTAGGGTTCAGGGTTAGGGTTAGGCCTATAGTAAGGATTTGGTTTAGCGTTAGGGTTTTGGGTTAGGGTTTGGGTTTAGGGTTAGGGTTGCTCAGCAAAAAGTAGGGCTACTACCCACAGCCTTTTCCCTACCCTTACCTCAACCAGAAACCCTAACAAAATCCTTCCTCACTGACAGTGGGAAAATGCAGCAATTTCTACTGGGGTTGAGTTAGGTTTAGGGTTTGGTTAGGGTTTGGGTTAAGGTTAGGTTTGCACAGCAAAAAGTAGGTTTAGCGTTAGGTATAAGGGTTAGGATTTAGGCTCTGGGTTTAGGGTTAAGTTAGGGTTAGAGTTAGGTTCAGGCTTAGGTTTCGGGTTTGGTTCAAGGCCATTCCACAATTCCAGTTTTGGCCAATTCTCATTTCATTTTTTTTTCTTGCACCCCAGGTGCTGCTTCTTCCCCCGTTGTGGGCCTGGGATTGGACCATTCCTATATTTGGGCTGTGGGAAAGGTCAATTTAGGGTGGATTAATTGKTGCATTCATTATCCCTGGGCAGGTTTTGGTTCAGATTAGGGACTGGGACCATTCTTGGACCGAGTGATCCCAACAGGATTTAGGACATTCCCACAAATATCCCAAAGGAGCTCTGATTTCCCATCTCGTCCACCATCTCTGACCCAGAATTCCATCCCYTCATCCCAATCCCCAGCAATTCCTGCTCTCCCAGGCTGTTCTGTTCTGGCTGCCATGTTCCTTCCCTGTTTTCTTGGATTTTCCTGGGTGTGAAATCMAATCCTTGGCTCCAAGAGGAGCTGAGAGACGTTTGTGCTGCTCGTTTTTTCCAGCAGGCGTTGGAGTTGGAGCCGTGGGCTGGGATTTGAGCAGCTCCTGATGGGTGAGGAACACCCTGACTGAGCCGTGCTTGGGGTGCTGGGAGATATTTGGGATTTTTTTAAGGGGTTTTGAGGTCTTTTTGAGGGATTTTGAGTTATTTTTGAGGTATTTTTGAGGTATTTTTGAGGGGTTTTGAGTTATTTTTGAGGTATTTTGAGTTATTTTTGAGGTATTTTTAAGGGGTTTTGGGGTCTTTTTGAGGGATTTTAGGCTGTTCCTGCCACCTCCTTCCTCTTTCAAGTGCTGTGGGGACCATCCCCTTTTTCTTTCTCTGCCAGGGACGTTTCYTTTCTCTCCATGAGGTGGAAGCAATAAAATAAATTCCTGATTCTCCTCCCTCCTCTCTCCACAGCTGGTCAGCGAGAAGGTCGGAGGGGCCGAAGGGACCAAGTTAGAYGATGACTTCAAGGAGATGGAAAAGGTGAGTGAGGAACCAGAAAATCCCCTAAAAATCACCCCGTGGCTCCTGTGGGATTGGCTGAAGCCCTGAGCTGATCCTCACCGGGCTCTCTCCTGCAGAAAGTGGACCTGACCAGCAAAGCTGTCACAGAAGTTCTGACCAGAACCATCGAGTACCTCCAGCCCAACCCAGGTGAGGCCCTTCCCAGTTTTCCAGGGATTTCAGGGAGATCCTTTTTTGCTCCAAGTTTGGATCAGGTGGAAATCTAAATACCCCTCGTGGCCTAAATCCAGGTTGTGGAGCAGGGAAAGAGCAGATGCATGCTTTGTCTCTGACCTTGAAAAAACCCTAAAGGGACCTGTTTTTCTTGGAATTTCCAGGAAAATTGCACTTTRTGGGCTGGGAAGGCTCTGTCAGCCCCACATTTTTCCAGCCAGCTGCTCCATAAAGMTCTCCAGGGACTCTGGGAGGGCTGGGGAAACTCCTTTGGCCTTCCCTGGGGTGAGCTATTTTTGCTTCGTGTCTTGGAAAAGAATCCTCGTACATCGAGAGATATTTCTGGGGGATGGACACAACAGAACCTCTTGGCTTCGAGTGGAGCAGGGAGGGAAAAAAAAAATCAAACCCCTGAGGGAATGCAAACGTGGCTGAGGTTGTTTTTTTGGCAGCTTCCAGAGCCAAGCTGACCATGCTCAACACCATGTCCAAGATCCGTGGGCAGGTGAAGAACCCCGGTTACCCCCAGTCCGAGGGGCTGCTGGGGGAGAGCATGATCCGCTATGGGAAGGAGCTGGGAGAGGATTCCAACTTTGGTGAGTGTCACCAGGAACGTGGGGAGGTTCCTGTTTTATTCCCAAGGGTCAGTCTAAATCCTGGAAGGGTTTGGGGGGCGCTGAATGGTGCTGGAAGGGTTTAAATGGGACTTATGGGTGAGMGCGTGCAAAGTGAAAGGGTGTGGATTTAAGGATTTTGGAAAAATGTSCAATGATTGTGARGCTGTGGCTGTCYCTSCATCCCTGGAAGTTTCCAAGGCCAGGCTGGAGCACCCTGGGATAGTGGGAWGGGGTGGAATTCCATGAGTTTTGAGCTCCTTCCATCCCAAACCCTTCCATTCTATTATTCTGCCATCCCAGCTATCCTGGACCCAAACCCACTTTCTTCAATTAAACACCCAGATACATTTGCACATAAAATCACAACCCTTCCCTGTGAGCTGAGCAGCCAAGTGGGAACGGGACAGAGCAGATCAGGAGCTTTGCACTGTCCTGAAGGATCCCTTCCAACCCAAACCTTGGGGAAACTGAAGCCAAAAAAGCTGCTCCTCGTAGCCACGTGTGGCTGGCAGGGAGGAGGGAGTGAATCCTTTTGGTGACATCAATTTGAATCCCCTGAAAGCTCAGCCAGCACACGTGACGGGGCAGCACAGCTGGCTCTGCCAGCCCAGGGAGGATTAAATTAAAAACCTCTTTTTTGGCTGCTTTTGGGACTGASTGAGGATTTTGGAGAGCGTCCCTGGCCAGCTCTGAGCTCTGCATCGATCCTGGCTTGCAGGGAGCGAGGAGAGCAAGGGAAGGAAGCTTTTAGGAGCACACACCAAACTTTATTTCCTTAATAACCTCCTTAAAGCATCACTGAGGGCTCCATCCCTCCCGTCCAGGGTTTTCAGAGTTATTACAATTGAAAGAACACTCCTGGCGTATCGATTTTTCCAGCTGGACAGTGGAGAGATGTTTTCCCTTGCTCCTCTCTCTCACTCCTATATTTTCCTGCTGGCAGTGGTTGTTTTGCCAAAGCTGCACAGGAATAATTCAATCTAGAAATGTTTGCACTAAAATGCCAGTTCTGGATTGCTGCAAGTCTGGCTTGAGTGTTGCAGTGAATGACTCTGAGTTCTGGGAGTGCCCAAAGCTGGGTTGGAGAAGGTTTGGACCAACCTGGGACAGTGGAAGGTGGGACCGGATGGGTTTTAAGGTTTTAAGGTCCTTCCAACCCAAACCATCCCACAATTCTGGCACACAGCACCTTCCTGCAGTTCTGTTTAATTCCCTCCTCCCTCTCCCTGCTCCTCTCCCCAAAGGGGACGCGCTCCTCGACGCCGGCGAATCCATGAAACGCTTGGCCGAGGTGAAGGACTCGCTGGACATCGAAGTCAAACAAAACTTTATTGACCCCCTGCAGAACCTGTGTGACAAAGACCTGAAGGAGATCCAGGTAAACACCCCCGTGGTTTTTTCTCCTCCTCATCTCAATGCTTTCTGGGCTTTTTGGCTGCTCTGGAGTGGTGGGAACCACCGGCTGGCAGGAATTCCCTGCACTCTGTGTGTTTTCTCCCTCCAGACTCTCTGGTATTTCCTCCCTGCTCAGCGCTGCTCCTGCTGCTCCTGAGCAGCCCAAAAGGCTGGATGCAGGTTGGAATGGTTCTCACTTTGCCATTTTTGATGGAGGAATRCATCCAACAACCCTTCTGGGATTGCTGAACTGGGTACTTTGTGCTCTGAGCTCCCAGAGGGGATAAATTTGGCTCCAAGCATCCCCTCAGGTGTTCACTCAGCATCCCAGGAGCCCTTCAGGGGATCAGCAGCTCCTGTGAGCTGCACTCGGACCAGTCCAGCCTTTGGAACGGGATCCATCCCAACCTCCAATTCCCCGCTCCCGCTCCCATAAACAACCGCGCGTGAGGCTGTGTGTATTTGCATAACCCCGCCCACCGTTCCCACAAGTCACCGCGTGCTCTGAACTCTGTATTTTGCATAACCACGCTAATCTGCTCCCACAAACCACCGCGCGAGATCGCTGTGTATTTGTATAATCGCGCTGATATTTGCATAACCACGCCCTCGTCTTGGCCGCGCCCCCGCCGGCTGTAGCAGCTTTCTCCGTTCCCGATTCCTTC